AGTAGCTGTGATGCATTCGGTAGGTCATTGATGTAAATGAGAAAGAGGAATGAACCAAGGACACTTCCTTGTGGGACATCGACTGCGACTGAGTGAAAAAGAATTTGCTCCATTTGTGTACACATATTGGCTTCTGTTACTAAGTTATGACTTTAGGTAGTTGAGAGAGTGCCCTCCTATACCATAGTGTGTTAATTTAATGTGCAGCAAATCATGGTCAGCTGTATCAAAAGTTTTACGTAAATCAATGAAGATTCCCAGCAGGACTTCTTTCTTCTCGAGAGCAGTGTATATTGGTTCTAGCATGTGTATAATAGCATCATTTGTGCTTTTGTTAGTCCTGAATTCAAACTGACAGGGGTTTAGTATGTTGTGTGAGACGATGTAGGAATAGATTTGTCTGAATTAATTTTTCAAAGATTTTAGAGAGTAGAGGTAGGTTAGATATTGGTCTATAGTTATTCAAGTCGGTTTGATCACCTCCTTTGTACTGATAATCTTACATAGTACAGTGGACCCTCGAATTTCATCCCTTTTCTGTATGTAAAACTGTAGTTATTTTCTATAAAATGTATTTCTTGTTAATATTTCCCATAAGAAATAATGTAAATCCAATTAATCCATTCCAGACACCCAAAAATATTAACAAGAAATGCATTTTATAGAGAATAACATGTGCAACACTTGGGTATCATTATTTTATTAATCAGATTGGTTTCTAAGAAATAATTGTGAAAATTATGAGCAAATCACCTGCAGGAGGCTTACAGGGCATTACCTGAATTATTACCTGCAAGTAATTTGGTTGAGGTAAGTGGGACTTGAATCACAGTAGGTCGCTGAACTGCATCTCCTTCGATTGCCCAATTCTTCACTGCTCTCACAAAAAGCAAGACCTGACATTAAATTAATAATTATAATATTAAAACCAGCTACTCTGGTAATTAAAGTTATGTGGACTGTATGTTATTTTGGTTTACTTACTGGGTACACAAAATATTCATATTAACACTTATCATTTAATTACTGTAGGTGGATCACACCACATCACCTGCCTAGCACCTAGACCTTACACTGGCCAGCTGAGATCTAAATGCAAGGACTACTGATGTACTTTCCTGTGATTGATGTTCGCATCCCATCTTCCACCATCCACACGTAATTCTTGAGGTCCCACAAATTTCCTGTCCCAATTCTTCAGCAGGGGGCATTAACACAGGTTCCTATTACAAATTCAGACCGAAATACCCCAAATTGGCCTCAGAAAATGCTGAATTACATTGCACAATTAAGTCCAGTGCTCACACATTAAATTCAATATAGCATCTCTTCCCCTGCATCACTTAGCAACTGTTCTTACACCCCCCTCACTCGAATTTTTTTTGAAAGGGTCAAATCAGCATCACCTTTTATTACACAATTATTGTATTATTTAAATTTACACATGCTGAATTTAGGAAAATTCAAAATTTTCCACATTATTATTATTATAATCAAGGGGAAGCACTAAACCCGGAGGATTATACAGCGCCTGGGGGGGGATGTGGAAGGCATTCAGGCTTAATTCGGGGAACTGGAGCACAGATCCAATTCCCTAAATCAAGAGCCCCTCACCAACATCAAGGAACCTTCCTTGAGGGGATTATAATCCAAAAGAAGCGCTAAGCCACAAGGGCTATACAGCTCAACTCTTCCAAGCTATAACAACTTATTAATGCAACTTCTGAGTGGTTTCAAGCTTAATGTGCTTGTGTATTTCAAGATATTGGTTTATTATTATAATTATGGGGGAGCACTTAACCCATAGGATTATACAGCGCATGTGGGGGAGATAGTAGGTATTCGGGCTCAATTCAGGGAACTGGAGCACAGATCCAGTTCCCTAGATCAAAGACCTCTCACCAGCATCAGGGAACCTCCCTTGAGGGGTGGTCTTTTTTTGAAAATCTTTAATTAGATGTGGGCTGTGTAATATCTTAAGTTACCATTTTTGTGGAAGAAATTTGAATATTACTTTCCATATGATGACTTGTAGATGCCTTTTTTAATCTCCTTCAGATCTTCAACACTAATATTTAACTGCATGATCAACTTATGCTGCACTCTGCACAATTCCAGTCACACGTATTAAGGCACAGGGGACTGGGCTTATGGAATATGAGAATACCTTTATCGGATCACACAGAAACTGAAATACGTAATTTGTATTTTTGCGAGTGGAAAGACTTTATGGGGCTAAGAAATATTATGGGAAGGCTTTAGCCCTCCCATTATCCTCCTCTTGACACACACTAAGTCCTCTATGTGCTTCCAAGATGTGTGCAATGGAGGTGCAGTAGTAGAACACAGCTATAGCACTCGGCATATGAATTACCACATTATGTCAGTGTACATAGATTTCACTTCTGTAACTAATTATTATTACACAAGGCTTGGGTTAACCCATCAGTAAAATGGGTACCTGGGTATTAGTCAATTGGTGTGGGTTGCGTCTTCGGACAAAATTGACGAAATGTGCCCAAAATGTTCTGCATAACAAGGGGCTCTCTATATAGTATCACCTAGGCCTGTATACCTTGTACATGTACTTGTAGAAATAAACATTTTATTATTATTATTATTATTGGTTTTTAATATTTGACGTGCTGTTGGAGTGTGAGCAAAGTAACATTTATGAAGGGGTTCAGGGAAACCGGCAGGCCGGACTTGAGTCCTGGAGATGGGAAGTACAGTGCCTGCACTCTGAAGGAGGGGTGTTAATGTTGCAGTTTAAAAACTGTAGTGTAAAGCACCCTTCTGGCAAGACAGTGATGGAGTGAATGATGGTGAAAGTTTTTCTTTTTCGGGCCACCCTGCCTTGGTGGGAATCGGCCAGTGTGATAATAAAAAAAAAAATTAATTATTATTATTTTCAGCAGCTGCAAAAAAAGTCCCTTCCAATAAGAAGGGCAGGGGCAAAACAAGGACAAAATAAAACATTTCATAAACAACGTTTTTTATTATTTGTATTTAACATATAATTTAAAGAATATTTTTTTTTCTATTACATTTTTTTTGAAATTGAAAAGGCCAATATGTAAGGAAAATTACTTTTATTATTAAGCAGGGAGAACACACCCCAAGGGGCCTACAGCCCTGGAAGGGAATCGGGCTTGATTTAAAGAAGGGGAAAGTAGCTCCATTCCTTTTGATAAGGCCCCCCCCTTTTTGGAGATACATTACCAAATAATATTCTTTTTTTACATAAAGGTTTATTTTAAGTGTGTGATTGTAAAAGGGGCTCAACTCTGGGGTTCATACAAAACCTAAGGAAAAGTTTATAAAGCTTGATCGAAGGAAACTTTTTTTTGCTTAGCTTTCTTAAAAAACCCGTAAACGCCAAGCAGATCTACGTTCCTGTGTATGCTACAAAAGTAGATCTAATTTTTTTTTTCATATTTCAAATACAGGGGACCCCCGCTTAAAGACACCCCCCTAATGGAAAAAATATGTAAGTTAATTTATAAATGCTTTTTACTGTTGTTTGGGGGGGCTGAAAAGGACAATTCTTTACAATATTCCTTAGGGAACAAATTTGGGCGTACTGGGAACCCCAAAAATACTTCTGGAATGAAAAAAAACGTTAAACGGGGGGCCCTGTATTCAAAAAAAAAAAAGTGAACAAAATTTTTTACCCATTTTCAAATGTAAAAAAACAAAAAATCTACTTTTTTACATACTTTCAAAAGTTTGAAAAAACGAATATTACGTTTGGACCGAACGGGGTTTAAAATCATCAAAATCAAAGTACCCACCTTTAAGGGGACTGGAAAAGGAACAACCATCCATTATATTTTTTGTTTAGAATTTGCTTTTAAAAAAGAAGTTGGGGAAAATAATTTGTTCATAATTGGGAAACCACATAAAAAATTTTCTTAGAACTCCCGATTTTTATAATTTTTACTTATGGGAAAGAAAGTGCCAATTCTTTTAAGTGGAAGAAAAAATGATTTTAATATCTTTGATAACATAAAATCATCAGGGGAATAAATTTTTTTTCATTATCTTTTGGGTATCCATAACTATTTTTAAATTTTGTTTCTATTAATTTTCAAATGCAGAGCAAAACCGTTTTAATCCCCTTTGCCCTGGGTTATGAAACTTTCTTATTTAAAATTTTTTTTGTCTTCAGTTTTCTCCAGGCATTAAGGCATGGAAATTTTTTTTTGAAATTAAATCCCTTGAATCAACCAAGGGGAAAAGCAAAGGATGCAGTCTTAATGTTAAAAATGTCCACAACAAAGTATGGAGTACCTAAATTTAGTGATACTCTTTTACATAAGACTTTAAAATGTTCAAAAAGGGAGTACTGAATGGGGCAAACAAGTGAACTGTGGTTTTTTTGTAAACTTAGAATAAGGGCCCAAAATTCAAAAAAAGTTTTTTTGGGGGCCATATAAAAAATAGATTTGGAGATTAAGGAAATTTTTTTTTGTCAATGCATATATCAAATTTATGGAAAACAGTATAATGAAGGGAACCTTTCGAAAACTGATATATAAGTTTACATGCTCACTTAGCTTTCCCTTTAAAAGATTTATGTGAGCATGTTGATTTTTTTCGTCACTGGATTTTATGTAATGGGGGTTGCCTAAAAAATACTAATGCCCCCTTGGTTCTTGTTTATTTTTTTCTAAAAAGGAAGTATTAGCTGCACTTACACTTCTTTTTATAAAGGGGAAATATTTTTAAAAAATTTCCATGAGATAAGATACCAACATAATAATAGAAAATCCCCAATTTAAAAATATTGTTGTACCTTAGTATAAAAAAGTATGAAGGATAAATTATTTTTGATGGTATAAATAAATTAAAATGGTTAAAACACTAATGATATTATATATAGCAAATTTTGCAAAAAAAAATTTATTTACAGTTTGTCAACTTCCCAATACATATTTTGAATGTGAAAAAAGTTAAATATTTTGATAAAAAAGTGATTAGGTATTATAAATAACACCAAATCTACTATTAGCAATTTTTCACGGTTCTTTTCCTCATTCAAGTTAGATAATTAGTCAAGTCATCATTACTATTATTTTTTTTTTTTTTTTAACAAGTCGGCCGTCTCCCACCGAGGCAATTATTTCCAAAGACAGCACCTGTTTTTATTTTTGACAGTGATAAACAGTATCAATAAAATAAGATTAAATACTTCATAAATGCATCTGAAAGTTGTAACAAATTAAAACAATCATAACATTGAAAAAGGATTTCCTTGCTGCAAAGTATTTGTCAGTTTACCCACTTTACAGGAAATGTTATTCCAGCTTATGGACATTATCTAACTAAGCAAACTTCTTCTTCCAGCTCGTGGGGCCTAATTTCTTTATACGTTGATGATACATGTGGTTCATCATCTTGTACATTGCTGAGGAAGAAAAAATATTACAAACATTTTGCATGATAATTCAGTTAAAGTATTAGCAGTTTCTTATTCATTTATTACTGTATTTGGTAGATTATTTGATGGATTACTCTGTCATCTAATATTAGTATTCATATAGAAGTGCTAAACCCACAAGGATCATACAGTGCCTGGGGAATGGGATACAATCAAGTTTAATCTAAGGAATTAGTAGCTTCACTTCCTCAGATCAAGAACTCTTTACCAGCATTTAGGCCCTCTCTCAAAGGGTCTCTTTCTTATGTAATTCTTGAATTAGGAAAATGTAATTCCAAATTCAGATACTGGTACTCTATAATTCTCAATTTTTCCAAATAAAAGGAAAATTTTGATTGATAATAGTAAAACTGATTTCAATTTTCTAAAGAGAGGTTTTCTGAAATTATGACTCAGAACTACTCTTTCTTAAAACAAATCTTTTTCTCAAAACACTACTGCTGCATATTCCAGTTATGATATGACATACAGTATTGCATAAATAATTTCTTTAAGAATATCACAATCCATTTATTAGAAATATTTTTAAAATTTTGTCAATAAAGAGTTCCTTATTACTGCATTTATGTTGCTTTCTAGTGGTAATTTCTTGTTTAATTAAATCACTCAGATTAATTTTTTACTACAATGATTTAATTTATTATTGTTATACAGTAGGATCCTGTATCTATGGGTCCAGTATTCATGGTTTCAGTTATCCTCAGTTTACCGTGGCCCGAAAATAACCTTTAATTCTACTTAATAATGGCCTCGAAGTGCAAAAGTAGTGATGGTGGAAATTCCTCAATGCTTAAGAGAAGCTATGAAGTCTTGCCAGTGATAATTCTCCACTCACTGTGCATAATTTATCAATTAAACTTTATAACAATTATGTATGTAAACGAAAAACAACACATACAGGGTTTGGTATCCGTGGCAAGTTCTTGTAATGTACACCTCGCAGATACGGGGGTCCTACTGTATTAATGTGTGAATAATAAGCTTATATGAGTCATACAGCATCTGGGAAATACTGGGTATCAGGTTTGATCCAAGGAAGGGAAGCTAGTTTCAAGTTTACAATAATTTAAATATTTTATAAAAGTTTCAATCCCTTATTTTATTCACTTTTCATTATTTGTCATTTACCTACATTAATGTTGTCAACCATTTGTCGTTCCATTTATCAAAATATTCTTATAAAACTCTGCAATAATTTTGATTTCCTATTTTGTATAATATTTTGCATCAACTACTTATTCAGTTACGTATTTAAGACTTCTGATAATGTCAACGATCTGCATTGTCGGATAAGCATTGACTGATCCTTGTGAAACCCCATTAGAGTGACTACTTGTCTATGTGTAAAAGGATGGGTAAGGGAAGAGCATGTATTGGAGTATCATTCTGTTTATTGTGTAAAATAAACCACATAGAATTTACCTGGGAAGAAAAAGAAAAGTAGGTAGCACCTGAGAAGTGTCGGGAAATGGAAAGCAAAATTCCATTTGTTTGGCAGGGCAACTGAATATTTTCCAGTCTCGTCAAAGTAAGGTATGTCCCTGTTAAAAAGGTTTCGTTAACTTTTGAGCACATTCAATTCCTTATCTGTTAAAGAAAATTATTTTAACTAAAGGAAATTAAAAAGTTTTCCTGCAGCACCTTCAATGCCTTATCTGCCTAGGAAAATTGTTCTACCTAAAGAAAATTTAAACATTTTCCTGCAGCAAATTCGAGCACTAATTACCACGTAACCTTCTTTCCTGAAATTCTACTGCATCTATGGAATACATGGTAATGTATTTCTTTTATGCAATGTTCTTAACAAAACTGTAGGACTTCTAGCATAATAGGTCTTCTTCTAATAGCAGGTACTGTAATAAATTGATCAACTGTGATATTCTAAAAACTTATGAAAATAAACTTGAAAGAAAATATACAAATTAAATATATCAAATAGCACAAGCAGCTTAAGTAAAAAAAAAATTTATGAGAGTATAAAGATAAACATTAACGTCATCTTACCGAAGAATAACAACACCTTCAAAAATAAAACCAAGAGGGTAGAGTGGAATCCATATTGTATAGCGAAGCCACGTGATGAAGCTTAATTCCACGTCATATACTCTCAACAAGTAGTATGGGTATCTGAAAAATCATGATAAAAGAAATTTTTTCCTAAGGAGAAAATACAAAAGTGCAAAACAAAATCTTATCCAGCCTATTTTATAATCAAAGTTACATGTGGGCAGGCCCTGCTTAACAGGATTCATTTACACCATAAAGAATATATATATCAAGATTATGAAAGTAACAGTAAAAAATTATTTGAAAAATTTGGAGTTGTCTGTAATGTAACGCTAATTTTTCTATATGTACTGTACTTCACACAATACTATTTTACATACATGCTGATTTTCAGAAACAAAACTTTTGAAATATGAGATATTTTCCTGAAGACCCAAAATCTCCTTTCAAATTCTGTTAATAAGATATACATATTAACATCAATGAGACTAGAAAAGTTAGGCCAAGAAATACTAGTAGCAACAAAGACAAAAAAGTATTTTCAGGTTATATCTTATTACAAGGCCTAGAGCATGAAACTTACCTCACTAATTCTATAAGTGACCACACTAGGAAAAGGTAGAAAATGACAGGCTTTGTTTGCATCCTTTCTTCTCCCTCAATCAAGCAAAAAAATATTATACCTCGTCCTCCTACCTGAAATTTTTAAAGTACAAATAAAAAGTGCTAGAAATTCATAGTGAGTGGATGGAGTTGAAGAAACTGTAAAATTTGCAGCAGCACATGCATGAAGCAGTTTGAACTGTAATATGGAGCTTCTAAGCATATTATTCAGAGGTACAGTATGGTGCTTCTTTTTTGACACTTAAGTTTTATATTATCAAACTTTGAAATTACAATTATAATCTATAAGCCTTCTAATAATATTCAGCACTGCAATTTTAATTATACTTTTGTATTTATTAAAAAAAATATCATAGTTTTAATAAATAATAGGTGAAGGAAGGATGTTTTTTTGTCATTTTTTTCACTTAGGTCTGAATTCTGGCACATTTATTTATTTATTTTTATTTATTTTTTATTTGGACATGATACATAGGTTTTTTTTTTTTATTATCACTGGCCGATTCCCACCAAGGCAGGGTGGGAATCGGCCAGTGTACACAGGTGTACAAAGAAATATAGTGATTGGGTGTACATGCCAAAAACCCCTTGCATGCAGAGCATTATGGGCAGCTTAAAATTAACTGAAGATTAACTAAGTAATGATAAATTCAGTGGTAAAAATTACAGTGAACAAATTACAACATTAAGCACAAATGAGTATTTCAAGTAAGAAGCATTAAAGTTGTACAAATTTGTAGCATAACAATGTATAATATAATCGAATCACAACGAGTAAAATCAATGATTTGTAGTGCAGAAATAGGTCATATGGTCATTAGATGAGTTACTGGGGTATTCTACTGGGTAATGTAATTAAAAAAAAAACATAGTTTGATAGGGTCACAGGTTATACATTTATGAGATTCAGTTATTCAGTATTTATTCACATAGTTTAAAGTGCACATTATTATTATGACGCTTTGCTTTAATAAAGCAAAATACGTGTTTCACTCCCATTTTCGAATTAATTTAAGTACATTTTATTATGCATTTTTTGAGCAATTATAAATAATTTAAATGCACAATTATGTAAATACTGTATATTGCACATATATAGTACAATAAACCCTCAATTTAATGGACAAATTGAGGAAAGCAGGTGGCCGGCAATTACAACTGTGGATAGTGAGGAGATTGTTTCTCCACAACTGCAACAACAAACAATTCGGTAAAAAATAAACCTCATCTGTTTTGAAATCAAATGGATTTTATTCCATATTTCTGAAGTCCACTGAACTGAGGGGTTCACCTACATTATTCCAAGGACCTATTTGCTCTTAATCCTCCACTGAACATACCTGAACTATAGCCTCAAAAACAGATCCTTTTGTATATCCAGTAAGTGAATGAAGCACTTCAAGAAACTGTGTCATTAAGCAGAGATGCATCATCCATCCAACAGCCTCATATGTTCCCTCCATGGACTCTGTAAATACAGTACATTATATATTATAATTAAAAAGAAAATAATTTAAAAGACAGCAGAGTACCCCATAGGCATTATATGTAATATTTACATTTAGGGGGCTTCTTGTATACTTAACCCTTTCAGGGTCCGTCCCGTAGATCTACGGCTTTACGGTGAGTGTCCAAACCGTAGATCTACGCCAAAATTCTAGCGCCATCAAATTTAGCGCGAAAGCGCTCATAGGCCTACATGTGAGAGAATGGGTCTGCGTGGTGGGTGTGCGCCATAAACAAAAAATCTAGGCGCCTGCATAGCATTGTGGGAAGGCTCTGATCCACCAGGAGGCCTGGTCACAGACCGGGCCGCGGGGGCGTTGACCCCCGGAACTCTCTCCAGGTAAACTCCAGGTATGCCGGCTCAGTCACCCTTGTTCACCATGCCTCGTCGCAAGTCAGCTCTCACTCCCCGGAAAATTGGGACTCTCCTCTTCCTATCTGATAGTTCTGACACTGATGGAAGTGGAAATGAAGACGAATTCTACGGCTTTGATCAGTTAGTGACCGAAAAGAATGACCAGGATATCGATAATAGTGCAGAAAACCCTGACGATCCTCGACCTTCTACCTCTGGTGTGGGCACTCGTGACTCACGGTCGGTTGTTCCTCAACGCAAGAGAAAACTAATATTTTCGCGTGGCCAGGCCTCTGACTTCAGTAATGATGATGATAGTGACGTGGATTGTGATTTTATTGCGCTCGACGATCATTCGAGTAGTGATAGTGAGGAATCATATTCACCAGTGAAGCGTCGGTATGTTCGCCGCCGCATGCGCTCGGGTAGCGTCCCCTATGCTGGGGCCCAGGGGACGGAGTACATCCCGGAGAAACATCCCGGGGCCCCCTACACCATTTTTTAGGTAGTGATAGGAGGATGATGTGGCTACACTTGGCATGGATAGACCACAGGCATCAGTGGATGGTGTTAGGGGTGATGGTAGGGGCACCGCCATGCGTGACTCACCAGGCCACGCGGGGACCCACGCTGCTGACTCGTCAGTTCAAGGACAAAGCGGAGCGTCAGCCACCAGCCCACCAAACCACAACCACCCTAAAACAAGCCTATGATGTCCAGTATCCACCAGCAAACCGTATGTGGGATTGGCAGAAAAAATCCCAATTTTGTTCCCAAGCCTCACCACTTTGATGACTCTCAAAGGGGAAAATTTACCTACTTGTCCCCTGGAACCTGGCCAATGAACTGGAATTCTTTGAATTATTTTTTGACAGCCATTGAGGAAATTTTTGCCAGGGAAAGTAATAAGTATTTTGAGTACACCATGGCAAATACGATCTTACCCCACAGTAAAAAAGGACTACACAGTGGAAAGAGATGACTGTTGCAGAAATGTATTTGCTTTTTGCAACAATAATGCTTATGCCTCACGTCTATAAGCATAATAATAAAAGGCATACTGGTCCACAGATCGGCTAATTTTCTACCCCGGTCTTCAGTGAAATCATACCAGTGAACAGGTTTATCTTACTCTTACGTATGTTGCACTTCTCTGACAAACCAGGCCTGACAGAAGTGACAGGTTATACAAGTTTAAAGAAAATGTTTTCATGTATCTCAAACAAAAGTTCAGGATATACTTTTATCCATTCAAGAATCTTGTAATTGACGAGTCTTTGATTTTGTTCAAAGGTAGACTGTCATTCAAGCAGTATATACCGAGCAAGGTATAAAACTGTTTGTACTCTGTGATTGTGACAGTGGCCTGGTGTTGGATATTGTTGTATACACGGGTAGTAAAAACATTGAAAGATACCAAGATGTTATTGGGTATCTCAGGTGATGTAGTGAGAAACATGATGGCACCTTATCTTGGTAAGGGGCATACATTATATACCGATAACTGGTACACAAGCCCATTACTCAGTGATTTCATGCGAGTGAACAAGACAGATGTGTGTGGCACAGTGCGTTCTAATCGGTAAACATATGCCCAGGCTCAACGCAGGTGCTCGTGGTGATGACGTGCAGGTGTTTACTGCAATGACATCATGGCATTACGGTGGCATGACAAATGAGATGTCACATTGTTGACAACCATTCACCGTAATGAAATGCAAGACAGTGGCAAAATTTATCGAGTGACTAATGAACGTATTCGAAAACCAGTGTCAGTGATTGATTACACAAAACTGCGCTTGGTTGCAAGTGTGACATGCAGATTGGTTTGTTGATGTGTTCGTAAGAGTTACAAGTGGTCATGAAACTTTTCTTCCATCTCATGGAACATTCAAGCTCAATGCATAAAATGTACCAATAAAGCTGGCAACAGCCACGTTGGTGAATTTTTTTTGTCTGTTGTCAGACAAAATCATAATGAGTACAGGTAACAAACCTGCTATACAACATGGTCCTCGAATTCCTCAGTATACCCAAGCGTTTGAGGAGAGAAGGTGATCATTTCATTAATAAGCTTCCTTCAACTCAGAAGAAATTTGCTAGAAGAGTGTTGTCTGTGCACAAAGAAAACACGGAACAAAGACACAAAAACACTCGGTTTATGTGTTTAGGAATGTAAGTTTCCTCTGTGCATGGTGCCTTGTTTCAAGAGTTCCACAAGTCCAGCAGTCTAAAACATTTTCGTGATTGTAAATATGTAATATATGTAGAACATTAGTATTAAAACAAGATTTGTGCATGTTTATGTAATAAACAACAGGTGGTAAACAATAATATGATAATAACTTTAGTGCGGTTATTGTGTTCAATACAGTGAGTTTAAAATATATTTCATTATTTGGTCTCTCAGGCCCCAAAATTTAGTAGGAATAGAAAAAATTGGAAAAGAAAAAAAAAAACAACTAAAACCACAAAATAATGTAATGTGCGTATGTGGAATTCATCGATGTTGCCGCCACCACATCATTTTTGACAAATTTCTTGGCACTGTATCTCGGTAAGTACTGATCAGATTTTTATTTTTTTTTGTCTTATTACCTTCACAAAAATATGCTCTTTAATTCTGTAAGAAAAAATAATTTTTTTTTTTTTTCAAAATTTCTTGGACACTGGAGCACCACTTCAGATTTTGGCCTTGGACCCTGAAAGGGTTAAAATTTCCAGAAACAAAAATTAACATTTTCTGAATACAGTACTATTTGTTGGAGAAGCATGAGTTATGTAATAATGCAATAATAAAGATAATTATTGGAAAAATAATAATATGTATTTACAAAAGTGTACTAAACCTAGCACATAATCATTAATTACAATAATAATGATAACAATAACAATAAGTATCTGCACACTAATTTGAAGGTTGTATAGAATATCTTGTAGTATTTATATGGACCATATAATATAATGTACAATACTGTATATGGAATAATCAAATTTAATATGGTTGAACACAATTATTCCAAGCTTGTTAGTTTTGGCTGCTCGAATATTCCACTTTGGCTCCCAAGAATGAAAAATAGTTTTTTTTTTTTTCTTTTAGTACTTTGAAGATAAATATTGTAGCAAAGATGTGCATGCCTTCTTGCAATGTATATATAAAGGTGAGAAAAATATTTCAGAGGAATATACCATAAGTGTCACGGTACACTGGCTGATGTAATTCAACGTACAATGAGGAACACTTGGCATAAGATATGATCAGCAACCTTGTTCAACAGTGATGTTGACTAATGTAGTGAGTGCAATTCTGAAGGCTTCTGTCTTGAAGCAGATATGGCTGAAGTTGAAAGAAAATATTATGTCATGTTCCTAAGAACATTGAAATGAATGATTCCTGATACTACAGGCAGTCCCTGCTGTAGCATATTACATTCCAGGTTACTGCTGTAAACATTAAAATGGTATAAAATACCGACAGATTGTTAGGTAAGACACATATGCAACAGTTAGGTATCTTTATTTCGAAACGTTTCGCCTACACAGTAGGCTTCTTCAGTCGAGTACAGAAAAGTTGATAGAAGCAGAAAATACTTGAAGACGATGTAATCAGTCCATCACCCTTAAAGTTTTGAGGTGGTCAGTCCCTCAGTCTGGAGAAGAGCATTGTTCCGTTGTCTGAAACAATATGAAGTTGAAGTGACAGAATGGGGCCTTATATAGTGCCAGGAGGTGAGACGTAGGTTGCTTTGGGAGGGCAGGTCCCTCTCAAACCCAGCCCCTCTCACTAGTAGAGGTTTGTCGAAGTTGATGGTCTGTCCAAGACACCCTTGTGTTGCAGTGTCTGACAGAATGAACATTAAAAAGGTATAAAATACCGACAGATTGTTAGGTAAGACACATATGAACAGTAGGGATCTTTATTTCGAAACGTTTCGAAATAAAGATACCTAACTGTTGCATATGTGTTTTTCCCTAACTTACTGCTGAAAAGAAAAAATCTCTTAAAGTAAAATATACCCTTTTTTTCACTTTAAAAATGCATATAAAAGCCCCATTACTATTATTTAGCAATAGAGGGCTTAAAAAAATGCTTTATCAGTACCACATTTTACCTTAAATTATTTTCATCCTTAGCTTACAGTGAGTAGGGAATATATTTATTGTAAAAAGTTGAATAAAAATGAAAAAATGGAAAATTTAAAAATCGCTGGGGCAGTGAAGCGCTGTAAAGGGGACCCTTCTGATTTGTTCAAATTCTTACACCCAAAATACTGCAATTGCTTATATTCTTAAATTACATAACCCCATTGCATTATTTTTTTTAAATTTCGTGATGAAATTATATCATGCCCTCTGTTTTTACTGTCCCCTCCCCTAATAAATGGAATAATAACTTTAAATGTGAAAATATTAATAAATTTTTAAAAATGGTGAAAACTTTTTGGGTTAAATTTTACTTAAAAGTCAGATTAAAAAAATTGTGAAAATAATTTAAATAAAAAGGCATCGCATTCCCAAGAGGCCATTTAGTGAAAAAATATTTAACATGATCACTGCTAAGCAATTTCTCCCCAGCTTTGCCAAGTAGCAGAATGAGGAAATAATTAAATGTTGCTAAGTAGAACAAGTATGAAATGTCCCCATGGTTGTTTAAATAATTTTAGAGGGGGGTTGTAAAAAAAGAAAAGCTAGGGTGTTCAGGGAGGGGTGGGATTAAATTAGGGGAATAAAATTTAAAAAGGGGAATGACACTTTACTTTTTGTGTGATACTGTGTTTGGGGGAGATTCTAAAGAAAAAATTGCAAAGGTTATGGGTGATTTGGGAAAGTGTGTAAAAGGGAGGAAACTGAAAGGAACATAGAAAAGAGTAAGGTGATGGGGTATCAAAAAGATTTAGATAAAGAAAAAATTGGGTTCAAATTGGGGGGGGGAGTATGGAAGAAGTGAATGTTTCGATACTTTTGGGAGTTTTAGTGTCGGGATGGTTTTTTTGAAGGATGGGGTAATCATACAACTGAGAGGGAAAAAAGGTGGGGTGGGGCGTTGAGGTATTGTGGAGTCAAAAACGTTATTATGGAGGAAAAGAAGGGAAAAGTATGAAAGTTAGTAGACCAACACTCTTATATGGATGTGAAGCTTTGGGTGGTAAATGCAGCAGGAGGAGACGGTTGGAGGCAGTGGGATGTCCGTCTAAGGGGAATGTGTGGTGTAAATATTATGCAGAAAATTCGGAGTGTGGAAAATTGGGAAAAGGGTTTGTGGATTTAATAAAAGCATTAGTAGGGGGAAAAAAGGGGGGTTTGTTGAGGTGGTTTGGTAAATTTAGAGAAGGGGATCAAAGTAGAATGACATGGAAAGCAATAAATCAATAGGGGAAGGAAGGAGGGGTTGGGGTGTCCTAAAAAGGGGTTTGGGAGGGGGGGGGGGTTTTAAAGGAGGTTTTGTGGGCGAGGGGTTTGGGGACTTCCGAAAATTTGTCGTAGCGGGGAAATTTGGAGGGGAATGGAGAAAAATGGTACGGGGAACCTGACGATCTTTTTGGAGTTGTGAGCGGGGGAAATTATTTATTTGAAGGGATTCGGGAAAAAACCCGGGTTATTTTTATATAGGGGACTTGAGGTCCGGAAATGGGAATACAATGCCTGCACTTTAAAGGGGGGTTTTGGGATATTGGAAGTTTGTTATCTTTTTTCGTATATCCCTTTAAACTGTTTTTTTATTCTGAGCACCTCTGAAAAAACATTTGAAAATTTTTGGAGTGTGGTAAAAGGTTTTTGGGAATGATGATGAAAGTATTTTTTTTTTGGGGGTTTTTTCTTTTTTTTTTTGGGTCCCCTTTGGGCCTCGGTGGGAAAACGGCCAAATTTGGGTTAAAAAAAAAAAAAAAAAGACCCGGAAATTTAAAAATTTTTTTATGAAAATTATAAAAAAATTTACTTAAAATTGAAGTATACCTGGTGGGGGTTTCGGGGGTAAACCCCCCAAGTTTCCGTCTAAACCCCGGGGCCCTCGGGGCCCTGGGGGGTCAATAAAATAATCAAAAGGGGGGAAAAAGGCACCACCTTTCTTCTTGTATGACAGTACTTCCATTTTGTAACTAGAACCCCAAAAAAAACTACTATCTATAATAATTTTGCAGTAAGAAAAGAATTCCTGTATGTGTATGTAGTAAAAAGGGGGAAAATGAACTATGAAAAAAAAAAACAAGAAAAAAATATTTGGAATCAATTAATCAAAAACCTTAAACCCCTGGTTCCAATTAAAGGGAAAAAATTTTTGTAGCAAAAAATTTTCAGTGAAGGTTTTTCCCGAGTTTGTAACTCTTAAAATAGTTTCCAATAACCAAATTTCATTTGGTTTAAAGGGTCAAACTTAAAAAACCCTTTTAGGGGGCCCCAGCCAAAAAACTGAAGGGGGGCCCAGTGGTCCCAAAAAATTTTAAGAAAAAAAAAATTTTCTTTTCAGAATTCAAGATAAAATTTTTGTGAAAGGGAATAAAAAAAAATTCGATCAATACTTTTGGAACAGTGGCGAGAAGGTTTGACCCAAAAAAGACCGGGGGGGGCAGCAAAAATCAGTGCTTCCCGGGAAAATTCATTTTTTTTTTTAAATTTGGGTTTTTTTTACTTTTTTCTTTTTTTAATTTTTTTTTTTTTTCCCAGTAACTTTTTTGGTCTGTGAGGGCCAATATAAAGTATATTGGGATAAATTTTACACTCATTGGATTTAACACAAAAAAAAGCACTTTTAAATTTGGGTTTTTCATTTATATGCTTAAAAAACTTGTTTTCAAGTTTATTGTTTAACAATAAAGATGAAAATATTTGTTTTGGTTTTTGTGTTGAATCAAAAGGTACCAAAAATTTTGTACAAATGGACAATGGTGCAATGGTACCTATGGTACAGTGGTATCATATTGGGCAAAGGGACCATGTACAAAGGTAAACCCTATGGTTGAATATGGTACAATGGGGACCATTTTGGGAAAATGGTACCCTATGAACAATGGTACCATATGGTGGGAAGGTACCTTAAGGTGCAATGGTACCTTATGGTTTCAATGGGGACCTTATGGCCATATGGGACACTGTACCTTATGGTACCCAAAGGTACACTGTAAATAAAGGTACTGTTGTATTCAACAAAAATAAACAAAACTAATATTTTTTAAACTTTAATTTTTAAATTTTAAAAAATCGTTTACAAAAAAAATATGCAAAAAAGTTGTATATTTTTAATGTTCTTTTTAAAAATATTTTCAAATGTAAAGCCACTCAAAATGTTCCTTTAGGTGGATAAAAAAGCACTTTCTTGGAAACTGCGAGTCACTAGCTAGCTTGCAGTCGTCACTCACTCAGTCTTGCCTGGTGCCTGGTGGCAGCAACATCTGTAACTGACCATATGGTACATGGTATCATATGTTACAGGGTACCATATGGTGCAAGGTACCATATGGTACAGGGTACCATATGGTACAGGGTACCATATGGTACAGGGTACCATATGATACAGGACACCATATGGTACAGATACAGGGATCCATATGGAAATAAAGTCACCCTGACCTTTTTTGGGTTATCCTAGGATTTTTTTACATATGCTGCTATGTATGATAATCTATGTAACTGTATTTGTGTACACCTGAATAAACTTACTCAAGCACATGTGGCATAGTAAGTTTATTTAGGTATACACAAATAAAGTTACATAGATTATCATACATAGCAGCATATGTTTGGAGACCCTAAGATAACCAAAAAAAGTCAGACAGACTTATTTCCATTAAGGTCCCTGTACCCTGTACCATATGGTACAATGTACCATATGGTATAATGTTACATATGATACAATGTACTATATGGTATATTGTACCATATGATACCATTGTATGACATCGCACCATTGTACCATATGATACCATTGTACCATGTGGTACAATGGTACCATATGGCTCAAAACCATAGAATTCCTCTTCAGATCCACTTCCATCAGTCTTAGAACTGCAAGTTGTGAAGAGGAGAGTCAGAATTCGCCAAGAGAGTGAGTGGGGAGTGAGAGCTTCCTTGCCGCCAGGCATGATGAACAAAGCAATTTGGCGGCGTTCCCACAATGCCATGCAGGCGTCCAGATTTTTTCTATAGTGCGCACACTGACCACCCAGACCCATTCTCTCAGATGTAGGCCTACCGGCCTTCTTGCGCTAAATTTGACGCCACTAGAATTTTGCCGTAGATCTACGGTTTGGACCCTCAACATAAAGCCGTAGATCTACGGCACGGACCCTGAAAGGGTTAAATTAAAAGTATCTCAAGAATAATAAACTACCTAGTCTCACCTGGACCATCTCTGAGGTATCGTGTGCTCATCACAGAAATAACATATATGAAGCCAACAAACTGCCACAGATTGTACAGGAACAGATACACTTTCTTCAGAGACTCTCCTGGAAAAATAAGTATACTGTGCATACGTGCATACATACTGGTAAACATAAATGTTTCTGTTGCAAACCTTATGCAGGTAGTACTATGAACTGAAATAATTTATGCCAATGACAAATCTCTCTCTCAATACAGTAAATAGGCCAGTAAAAAAATTTATCCACACATCCCAAATAAAAGTATCCACATATTCCACACATGTAGAAAACCATGTGAAAAAATAAACAGTAATACCCTGAGCACTATCATGTGCTCACACATCTGAAAAAAGGAGAAGAATCAAGAGAAATGCACTATAAGTGGTTCTCTTGACTCTTTTTTTCCTGTTCTTCTGAAGATGTATATGTAAGCACATTAAAGTGCTCAACTTTTCCTGTTTATTTTTTTTCACAATGATATTTATTGACTAAAAACTTAATATAAATGTGTCATGCATGTGTGTGGTGTGTGTGTGTATTCACGTGTTTCCTACTTGTGGGTTTGCAGGGGTGTGTGTGTGGTCCTGGCCCTGCCTCTTTGTGGTTTGTAGTGGTTTTGTCTGTGTTTGTTTTTTTGTTTTTGTTGTTTGTGTGTGTGTTTTGATGTGTGTGTTTTGAAAGTCATTGTGGTTATGTATTTTAAATTTGGGTGTGTGGAAGAGAGCCTTTTATGTGGCATTATGGTGACTTTACACATTATTTGGTTACAGGGGTACTTCCTAGCCTCTTTGCTAGGGTTTTACAGCAGATTATTTTTATTATATTTTGAATTTATTTATATTTAAAGTCTTGCAAAAGTACATGGATTTGTATTTCAAAAATGGGTTTTGGAATGAAAGAGAGCCTCTATTAATTCCTAGGCATATGGAATTAACATTAGGTTACAATATTAACATAAGAATTATATCATAGGTTAAATTATTAATTATAAGTGATTAATTTATATTTAAAACAAAAATATATTCATATATTCAAAAATGCTTTTTGTGAAAACAATGATTCAATTAATTCCTGTCGACAATGGATAAAAGGTTCAAAGTATTGTTGGAATTTTATCGGAAATACTAATTGAGTATTGAGTTCTGAGTATTTAGCATTTAGTCATGGGTGATTAAGTGGCTTTTGAGAAGGCTTAAGTTGATTTTCAGACCGGGTTACTCAAGTATCTTCTGGTAGTGAATTCCATATTTTGGGGCCCTTTATGTGATAGAGTTTTGCACATGTGAATGGACACGAGTACATCAAAAGGATTGGGGTTTGTGTTATGGCATGTGTCCTGTTAAGGTTGGGGAGAAGTTTGAGTGGAGGGTTTATATTTGCGTGTATTGTTCTGTGTATGTAGTAGGCACATGAATAAGTATGGATGTTCTTAATGGTGAGCAGATTTAGACTTTTGAAAATTGGTAGAGTATGCTGGCAGGGGTGGGAATTTATCATCATTCTGACTGCTGCCTTTTGCTAGGTTATTAGAGGTCTTAGGTGATTGATTGTTGTTGATCCCCCATGAGCTTTATCGTGCATGTGTGTGTGTGCATTTTTTTTTTTTAACACACCGGCTATCGCCCGTCGGCCAAATAAAACAAACAAAAAACATGCCAGTGAAGAAGTGGGGCCAGGAGCTATGACTCAACCCCTGCAACTACATATAGGTGAGTGTACATAAACACACTGTGTACAGTAAACCTTTGATGTAACAGATTAACTAGGGAGAGTGGGTGGGTGGTAACAATTGTAGCAGATATAGATGAGGTTGTCTTACTGTGATAGTAACAGTAATAGACAACTGTTATAACCAACAAACTCTGTCCACTGTTTCCAAATCATTTGACCCATCAGATTTTATCCTGTATTTCTGAAAGCTGATATACTGAGGTCCATTAAATCGAGGGTTTACTGTATTTGCTATTATTGTATGTGCTAATGTCATTAACTTATAAGGGTGAATAAAAGACAGCTCCTGGTCCATCAAGTAGCACAAATATTAGGGTACTGTACAAAACATATGCTGGTACAATATTTGTTGAAGTTATAGCTCACTTTTTGTAGGCCATCCAAGCTCCTCTGCCTGCATTTGCTCATAGAGTCCTGGGTAGTCATCCACAATATCTCTTGCTTCATCTGACAAATCCTCTTCATGAATCCACTTATCAAAATCTATCTTAAAATAATAATAATGAGAATTAGCAGCTCAAAACACTAGCTCCATTACAGCATTTTTGCAAACAATATTTTATACAGCACTGTATTACACACATTATTATATTCACAAGTGTAAATATTACATACTGAAGAATAAAAAAAACAATATTCTCATGAACATTACAGAAATAACCTGCAGACAGGAGACAAAATTATGATAGTATGTCAGTCCTATGTGTAGGGTTATTTGTGTACTATTTACTGAGTGTCCCAGTTGACTTTTAGTACACTCAGGTTAGTACAAAGTGTACTTAAAGGTGCTTGTTCTAGTCAACTTATTACTGGGTGTTCTCAGTTATTTGTAGTACAGTCAGATTGTTACAAAGTATATCTAATTGTTTGTAGAACATTCAGGTATAGGTCGGCCATCACTAATCTGGCATCATTGGGACCTGTAGTGTGCCGGATTAGTGAGTTTGCCGGATTACAGAGTGGGTAGATTAGAATACACTTAATTAACCTATCAACAGAGAGTTTCTGCTACATCTTCCTTATTTTCATCACTGCTTTCTCCTCCACTGGCTTGCTGCTGTGGATTTACAACCATCTGCACAATATCTGAGTCAGTATAATTATGAAATTTGAGTCGGTATAATGATCTGAGCCAGTATAATGATGAAATTTGAAATTATGCTAGCTGAAATTAGTGCCGGATTACTGATGTAACCAGATAACTAATTTCTGGATTAGTGATGGTTGACCGTAGTTACAAGTGTACTCATGTACCCATACTCAAGATAATTCATCCTTACAGATTTTGGTAGTTACGATCAAATATAAGGAAGTAATATGACGATTATTCAGATATAAGGAAATGGCAAATCACATTTTAAAAATGCCATATGGAACATATAATTTTGTCTAAAATCACAAATTTTTACTATGGTTTGTCTTGGTATGCATTTTTTACAAGGTTATCTCTTATCCAGTTACCCACTCCATTCATCCTGTATCACTAACTGCACAACAAATATTTAAAGCTTTTTAATATATCAAGTACAGGAGGGCCCCACTTACACAGCAGGTTAGGTTCCAGGCTGTTTACCTGGAGTTTACCTGGAGAGAGTTTCGGGGGTCAACGCCCCCGCGGCCCGGTCTGTGACCAGGCCTCCTGGTGGATCAGCGCCTGGATCAACCAGGCTGTTGCTACTGGCTGCACGCAAACCAACGTACGAGCCACAGCCCGGCTGATCAGGAACTGACTTTAGGTGCTTGTCCAGTGCCAGCTTGAAGACTGCCAGGGGTCTGTTGGTAATCCCCCTTATGTGTGCTGGGAGGCAGTTGTTGTGAAGTGAAAATTGCTGTAAAGCCTGATAACATGTTTACACTATCATATATCAGTGAGAAACAGAGCCAGGTCTAAATAATGCATATACAGTACACATGTTACTTACCTTAAAGTATTTTTGCCCTTGGCTTATAGTGAGTGATTATATTTGTTGTAGGAAATCTGAATAAATGAAGAATAGATATAGTAACTGAAAACTGATGCAGTAGCAAAACGCCAGAAAGCGAAGTGCTGTAAAGCAGGGCCCTCCTATTAAAAAACTTTATCTAAAAGACCTTAATTTAATGGATACTGGAAATTACAGAAAATTCAAGAGATATACTGATTTTGGAAATATATAACAAAATTTTTTAGTTACAGAATTGTCTGTTACACTCTCCTGAGTTTAATTTTGGAAACAACGAACAGTCTGTTAACCACAGAACTTCCCATTAATGTTACAGTCTGCTGGGTAAACTGATTTTGAAAACAACAGAGTTCACTGGTTACATTTTTGTTTCAATCCAGCAAAAAAAAAAAAAAGTCCATTATTCAGATTTACCAGACAACTGGCATAATATTACTGGTCACACTCTTTCCTCTATTAGTCCATTAAATTAAGGTTTCCCTATATATTTGTATGAAATAGTAACTTTTATGATTGGTTCCATTGATATAACAACAGCTATTTTAATATGCAAGGTGCAATAAAATAGTAAGCTGACTAGCTTGCAGCTTAGTAGAAATTTCATTCTGTGCAATGCCAACTTTTTTTTTTTTTTTTTTTGATAGGAAATACCACATGATTGGTAAGGACACTTATACTACACCCTGAATACATACATACAGAGAAAACTCTGAATATCTTCAATTATCATTTCCAAATGTGAAAGCAGAAAAAGGAACCAAGAGAAATTACTGATTTTAACACCTGTATGACCCATATGGATTTAGCAAATATTTTTAATATAATAATAATAATGATAATAATATGGAACTGTACAAAGATCTGATACTACATGGTAAGAGAAGAAGTGGTAGTAAGGGAAGGAGGGAAGGATAGTTGGTGAGGGGGGAAAGTGTGTGTGCTGGTAAGAGGGGGGGAGAAAATGTTGGTGAGAGTGGAAGTCATGGTTAAGGAGGGAGGGAGAGAAATTTCCACAAATGATGCAATGCCACATTGAGGGAGAATTGAAAATTTCTTAAAAAAAAAAAAAAAAAAAAATGACAAAGTATACTCCTTAGTTTATAACTGGTAGTCTGCAGTTGTCAAACTGTCCTTTAATCAAGTAATTTCTTACAAACTCTTATAATAGGGTAATTTCTTACAAACTCTTATAATAGGGTAATTTCTTACAAACTCTTATAATAGGGTAATTTCTTACAAACTCTTATAATAGGGTTAAACTTTAAATATTTCTTACAAACTCTTATAATAGGGTAATTTCTTCAAATCTTATAATAGGATTTCTTCAACTCTTATAATAGGGTAATTTCTTACAAACTCTTATAATAGGGTAATTTCTTACAAACTCTTATAATAGGGTAATTTCTTACAAACTCTTATAATAGGGTAATTTCTTACAAACTCTTATAATAGGGTAATTTCTTACTTTTAGCCAGGCAGGCTTCTTTGTATCTTCAATGAGTCGAGGCCAAAATTCAACCTGAGCCTTAGTTAGACTCAACTCAACATAGCGGTCAAGTATTCTGTATCTGCTTTTCTGTAACAAAAAATATTATAAAAAAAATTAACATTATACATACATATATATGTTGTATTACTTTTTCTGGCTCTCTCTCATGCAAACATATGTGATATGCAAAAACTGCAACTACTGTAGTAGATATTTTACAAATAAATAGATATCAGTTTTGGAGGGTGGTATTACAGAATATTTACCTCTGGGTCAATTGTTCTGAAAAGCCTGAGGTTGAATCCGTATTTCTTTTCCCCTTGAGCACCATGACCAACAGCTGAGAATATTAGGTTCTGCTCCTGAAGATTCACATTGGGAGCCTGGAGATGGAAGACAGTGTATACAATAGACATTAATAACCTTTATTTTATCACTCCCCTCAAATGTTTTTCTATACAGTAGTCTTTTTATCAACTATACTACTTCCATGCTTTCAGATATAAAAAATATAGTAATTAAAATTTATACATATTGTACTATATTACCAGTGATAATACAACTTTTTTTTTTTTTTTTTACAAAATGCATATGCCTGCCCTGATTCTCTCCCCTCCCTCACCTGTCTTTAGTGCATATACTTTTTTTTTTTTTTTCTTAAAAATTTTTTTTTTTTTCCAACAAGTCGGCTGTCTCCCACCAAGGCAGGGTGATCCAAAAAAAAAGAAAATCCCCAAAAAGAAAATACTTTCATCATCATTCAACACTTTCACCTCACTCACACATATCACTGTTTTTGCAGAGGTGCTCAGAACACAACAGTTTAGAAGTATATATGTATAAAGATTTACAGGTCAACATATCCCTCCAAACTGCCTATTCCCAAAAGCCCTCCTTGTAGAGTGCACAGGCGTTGTACTTCCCAATTTCCAACTCCAAGTCCTGGCTATATAGGAACACTTAGGTTTCCATCCTGCTGAACTTCACTAAATATTACCCTTGCTCACACTCCAACAGTCTCAGGTCCCAAATACACATTTGTCTCCATTAACTCTATCAAACCACGCTTCATGCATCGCTGCTGGAGAGTCCAAGTCCACTGTCCCACAAAACTTTCCCTTACCCCCTTCCTTCCAAACCTTTTTCGTGAGGACGACCCCTAACCCCGCCTTCCTTCCCCTAACAGATTTAAATGCTCTCCATGTCATTCTACTTTGATCCATTCTCTCCTAAATGACCAAACCACCTCAAAACAACCCTCTCTTCAGCCCTCTGACTAATACTTTTATTAACTCCACAAACCTTCTCCTAATTTCCACACTTCCGAATTTTCCCCGCATAATATTTACACCACACATTGCCCTTAGACAGGACATCTCCACTGCCTCCAACCGCCTCCTCGCTGCTGCATTCACAACCCAAGCTTCAACACCCATATAAGAGTGTTGGTACTATACTTTCATACATTCCTTCTTTGCCTCCATAGATAACGTTTTTTGACTCCACATGTACCTCAACGCACCACTCACCTTTTTTTCCTTCATCAATTCTATGATTAACCTCATCCTTCATAAATCCATCCGCACGACACGTCAACTCCCAAGTATCTGAAAACATTCACTTCTTCCATACTCCTCCTCCCCAATTTGATATCCAATTTTTCTTTATCTAAATCATTTGATACCCTCATCACCTTACTCTTTTCTATGTTCACTTTCAACTTTCTACCTTTACACACACTCCCAAACTCATCCACTAACCTTTGCAATTTTTCTTTAGAATCTCCCATAAGCACAGTATCATCAGCAAAAATTAACTGTGTCAATTCCCATTTTGTATTTGATTTCCCATAATTTAATCCCACCCCTCTCCCGAACACCCTAGTATTTACTTCTTTTACGACCCCATCTATAAATATATTAAACAACCATGGTGACATTACACATCCCTGTCTAAGACCTACTTTTACCAGGAAGTATTCTCCCTCTCGTCTACACACCCTAACCTGAGCCTCACTATCCTCATAAAAACTCTTTACAGCATTTAGTAACTTACCACCTATTCCATATACTTGCAACATCTGCCACATTACTCCTCTATCCACTCTAATATATGCCTTTTCTAAATTCATAAATGCAATAAAAACTTCCCTACCTTTATCTAAATACTGTTCACATATATGCTTCAATGTAAACACTTGATCTACACATCCCCTACCCACTCTAAAACCTCCTTGCTCATCCGTAATCCTACGTTCTGTCTGAATTATTACAAATACTCAAGGTCAGGTTGAATAGCTGTAATTATCCCAGAGTTGACTAAATGGACACAATAACCCCAAGGTCAATTTAATACCTGTGAGAAGCCTATTATTATTATTATTATTATTATTATTATTATTATTATTATTATTATTAATATTATTATTATTATTATTATTAATTATTATTAAACCACCACATTTAGACTCCATGACGAGGCCTCAATAAGGAAGTTCACAGCTGACCTAGAGACTGTTGACTGGCCTACAGAATTCTCCAAGGCCAATGGTATTGATGACTGGACAGACATTTTTCTTAACAAATTACTTAGACTATACAACAAACATTGTCCTATAAAAACAAAACAGATCACAAACAAACGGCTTGGTTGCCCATGGCTAACCAGCACCATTCTGAAATCCATTGACAAGAAACACCAATATAAAAAGCAATATAGACAGGGCTTAATACACAAAGATATTCTTAAACACTATTCATCAGTTCTCACCAAAGTAATAAAGAAAGCCAAACAACTATACTGCTCCAGTAGATTCACAGACACTAGAGGAGATATAAGAAAGACCTGGAAAACACTCTCTCAGATTCTAGAGACCCACAAACTGAAAAACCAAGAATATTGTCCTAACTAAACCTAATGAAACACCACTACATCCCACTGACACAGCTAACAAGATAAACGACTTCTTCTCAACCATAGGATCTAATCTCGCCAATAAAATCCCACATACCAATGCCCATGCCGGGGACTACCTAGATGGGAATTTCCCAAATTCCTTCTATCTTGCACCAACTGAGCCCATGGAAGTCACTGAGATTATAAAGTCACTTAAAAATAACTCAGGGAATCTGTCTCATGTCCCACCATTACTGTACAAGCGAGCGGCCCATGTCCTTTCACATGCTATTTCATTACTTTTTAACAAGTCACTAGAAACTATTACCTTCCCGAAACTACTCAAGATGGCAAGGGTTACACCAATACATAAAGGTGGTGACCCTACAGACTTAAACAACTATAGGCCAATATCAAACTTATCATTGCTATCCAAAATCTTTGAGAAACTCGTGCACAGGAGACTATATTCATTTATAACGGCACAAAACATACTCAACCCCTGCCAACTTGGATTCAGGAAAAATAAAAGCACTAATGATGCAATCATAAAAATGCTAGATCTGCTTTACACAGCATTGGAAAATAAGGAATATCCACTAGGAATTTTTATTGACCTAAGAAAAGCTTTTGACACAGTAGACCACGACATCCTACTCCATAAACTTGACCATTACGGTATAAGAGGCCATGCGCTTGCTTATTTCAAATCTTACCTTACTAATAGGTACCAGTATGTCACCATTAACCCTTTGACTGTCGCAACCCCCAATCCTGAGGTGTCTCCTGGTGTCGCAAAATTTAAAAAAAAAAAAAAAAAAAAAATTCTTATGAAATGATAAGAGAATCTTTTCCCGATTGTAATGACACCAAAAAAACGAAATTTGATGGAAAACTGACGGAATTATGCTCTCGCGAAGTTAGCGACCTCGGCGCTGTTTACAAATCGGCGATTTCGCCCACTTTGAGCCCTATTTTCGGCTAATTCCATTGTTCCAGTCGCCCAAACTCATAGCTATTTCTTTAGAACTCCATTTTTTCTATCGATTGAGTACAAGAAATTGCCCATTTACCGATTTCAACTACCTAATAATGTGGTCAGAAATTTGCAATTTGGCCAATTTCACGAAAACTAAAAAATATGACAGTTTCAAAATAAGGTCCAGAATGAACAGTGCAGACATTCCTGGCTCTAAAATAACATTTTCTTTGTTCATCAGTCATGTCTCCAGGCCCCTCTGATATTACTCTTGCTTTCTATTTTGAACTTTTATTCAAACAAAAAATAGAAGACTTACTATTATGCAGACTACTGCAATACTGTAATAATTGTATAAATAACATCAACCCATTCATGACTGCATATTAGAATGGCTAGTTGGACATTTATTGGACAAGGCATCATTTGTTTACTTTTGAACATTGGCAAAAATCAAACATTTACCCTACTTTGAGCTCCATTTCTAGGTTCTTTTTATAGTAAAATTAATCAAAATCACCTCTATTTCTATAATATATTTTCCATTCTATCAAATGAGACCAAGAAAACGAGAATACAACCATAAATACTATACGAAAATAGACCACAAAGTCGGCATTTTAATTAAAAAAAATGGTCGGAGTTTTTTTTTTCTCATTATGCACTGTGTGCTCCAGGATTTTTTTTATATGGTGCACACTGACCACACAGACCCATTCTCTCACATGTGGGCCTACCAGCTTTCTCCTGCTTGATTAGAAGCCGCTAGAATTTATGAGTATACAGTGGACCCCCGGTTAACGATATTTTTTCACTCCATAAGTATGTTCAGGTGCCAGTACTGACCGAATTTATTCCCATAAGGAATATTGTGAAGTAGATTAGTCCATTTCAGACCCCCAAACATACACATACAAACGCACTTTAAAAATACACTTACATAATTGGTCCATTCGGAGGTAATCGTTTTTCGGGGGTCCCCGTATTACGCAAACATGGTACCTCGTAAGAGTATAATACGGCCCGGAAAATCAAAGGGTTAAAGACACAGCTCAAAAAACCCCCCGGGTACGAATAGAGTTTTGCAGGGAAGGTCCTTGGTCCCCCCCTCTTCCTCTAACATCAAGATCTTTCCCAAAAATATCCCAAAAACCTGAAACCCATTTTCTTTGCTACACACGACTTATGTATCTCTCACCCCAAACTTGCCACCCTCAACACCATTGTTAACGAGGAGCTGATCAAAATATCGACTTGGATGACAGACAATAAACTTACGCTTAACACTGACAAAACCTACTATATTATGTTTGGTAGCAGAGCAGGAGATGCACAAATTAACATTAAGATCGACAACACTCTAATTACCAGACATAATGAGGGCAAATTCCTAGGCCTATACCTTGACAACAACCTGAATTTCAGCACCCATATCCAACACATAACCAAAAAAGTATCCAAAATGGTTGGGATCCTCTCCAAGATACGATACTACGTGCCGCAAACTGCCCTTATCACACTATACCATTCACTTATATATCCATACCTCACCTATACTATTTGTGCTTGGGGATCAACTGCAGCAACGCACCTAAAGCCAATAATAACCCAACAAAAAGCTGCAGTAAGAATAATCACTAAATCTCATCCCTGGCAACACACCCCCCCACTCTTCATAGATCTAAACTTACTCCCTGTTCAGAACATCCACACTTACTACTGTGCAATCTACATCTAAAGGACCTTAAACTCCAATATCAACCTTGACCTAAAATGCTTTCTTGATAGTTGTGACAGGATCCACAGGCATAACACCAGACACAAACATCTCTATGACATTCCCCGTGTCCGACTAAACCTTTACAAAAATTCAATGTATTTCAAAGGCCCTAAAATCTGGAACACCCTACCTAAGAACTCTAGAATTGCAGACACATTCATCACCTTCAAAACTACCATTAGAAAACATCTGATCACCCTGATACACCCCGTCAAGTAACTACACGAATACCACCTGGTGGTTCACACTTACACTCACTCACCTATTTGACCATAAATAGAAATATTAATCTCAATCTTAAAATAATGAATCCTGTGATACTCCAATACTGAAACTATGTACTGTGCCAAAACAAAAGCATTCACATTGCTAAACTCACAAACTAGTATTTAGTCACTTAGCCATAATACCAACTTACCTCATAATTTGTAATATTTTAAAACTAAGAATTAAACTAAGTCTGCCCGAAAAGCCTAGCCATGCTAGGTGTTCTAGTGGTACACTGTAATTATTATTTTACTACATGTAAACCACACAATAACCAGATTCTGTAAACTCAGCATTGTAATCCTTATAGAGAATAAACTTTGAATTTTGAATTTGAATTTGAATTATTATTATTATTATTATTATAATGAAAGAGGAAGCGCTAAACCCGTAGGATTATACAGCGCCTTTGGGGGGGATGTGGAAGGTATTTAGGCTTAATTCATGGAACCGGAGCAGAGATCCAATTCCCTAGATCAAGAGCCTCTCACCAGCGTCAAGGAACCTCCCTTGAGGAGAGAAACCTATTAATTACTGGCGAGCAAAAATGGTTTATGAAGCACACCGAGGAGCACGCAGTAAGCCTAGTCTGTGTTCTACATTACTGTAGCTTGTAGAAGACGCCACAAAGATCAGGTCGAGGCTACACTCACCTGTACATTCCTCAGCTCAATTCTGAGTGTCACAGTAGAGTCAGTTTGAGCCCAGTACACAAATGGACTCAAAGTATTTTCTCCCATTTTCTTGTTGGGGGTTTTAAGGGCCACTGAGAACTTAGGCCGCGTCCAGCCTTAGTAAATTTATTTTGGTACAGGTACACATAAATACAGTTACACATATATACATAATAACATATGTAAATTACCTAGCATAGGCCAAAAAAGGTCAGACAAAGTGACTTATTTCCATACATACTAACATATGGTAATTACTTAGGATAACCCAAAAAGTCAAAGATAGATTACAGATAAGATTGTCAGATTTTAACCCACTGTTGGGGTTTAGCCACCCAGGATAACCCAAGAAGTCAGTCGCTAGTACATCGAGGTACGTCTAACTTACTTTCACATTACCTTTAATCTTGTATCCTAGCATGCACAGACCAAACTATTTCCACTAACCACACCTATGTAGACCAAATTTAGTAGGTAGGTACAGGACTAACAGGTGTAAAAAACGTGTCGAATGTTTCCAACATGCCGTATGTGAAGAAACCGGGACCCTCCAAAGTCAGGACAGGGGTTTTCCAAACCCATGGCATCTGAGCACACCCACCAGGACTACCAAATCAAAGTGACTTATTTCCATTGGGATCCTTGTCTCTTCTCTGATGATCAAAATTATTATTAATAATTAAGTAAGTTTATTCAGGTATAGGTACACCTCAATACGGTAACAAAAATTATTATACATAGTAACATATGTGTAAAATGCCTAGGATACCCCCCAAAAAAAGTCAGACAGGATTAGTTGACATTATTGGCTTACTTGAGCAGAGCATTTATTTATTTATTTATTTATTTATTTATTTCCAATTTGAGCACACATACAGAGGTACAAAAAAATACAGATAAGAGCAGCATGCCAAAGCCACTTATACTATGCATAGCATTACGGGCTGGCTTAAAATTAACTTAAGATTAACTAAGCAATGATGAAATCAGTGATAAAACATTAATGCTGAGGTCAGGTGGAGAATGCTGCATCTGATGATGTACCGAGTGGGGTTGTAGAGTCTAAAATCTTGGGTAGCTTGTAAATGAGATTGGATAAGTTTGTGAGCAGACCTTCTACAGTGTTCTTATGTGGGATAGCGATGAAGAAGTTTCTTGGCAAGTGGTTCAGCTATGTTATAGAAGCCACTATTCTGGGTGAAGTTGTCGGATATAGAAATAAGTGATGATTCCAGGATTCTTCGGTATTGAGTGTTGTCTTCTGTGGCGATGAGTCTTGAGTTTCTGTAGTTTATCAAGTGGTTGTGTGAATTACGGTCTTGTACACAGGCATTCCTTGTGTCGTCAGACCTGCTTGCGTATTGGTGTTCTGAAATACGTGTTTGGAGGTCCCTTGATGTTTCGCCCACGTATAACTTGTTGCAGTCATTACAAGGGATTATGTATACCCCTGCAGAGGGTGGAAACTTGTCCTGTCTATCACTGGTAATGTCCTTGATGGTCGTAGTTGTGGAGGTAGATACTTGAAAGGAGGTATTGGAAAAGATGTTGGAAACGTGTTTGGCAATGGAGTTGGTGGGGAGGACTATGTATCTCTTCTCGGCAGTGTCTTCTCTGGGTGTGTTGAAGATGTTTAATGCCCGTCGTCTGCAGTCTCTGATGAAGTGACGAGGATAGTGGAGTTTAGAAAATGTTCAATTATCGTGCATTCTTCTTCAAGGAACTCATTGCTGCAGATTCTGAGTGCACGCAGGAAGAAGCCTATAATTACACCACGTTTGGTTTTGGTGTCGTGGTGAGAGTAAAAGTGAAGAAGGTCGTTTTGGTTGGTGGGTTTTCGATAGACTTTAAAACGAAGTTCGTGGTCAGCTTTGCAGAGCAGAACATCAAGGAAAGGAAGAGTGTTGTCGACTTCTTCTTCAAGTGTGAACTGGACTGAAGGCTCGACCTGGTTGAGCTTGTCTTGGAGAGCTTGAACGTTGAAGCGTTTAGGAGTTATGAGGAGAATATCGTCAACATAACGGAGCCAGGTGACAGACGAAGGAATAATGGTGGAGAAACGTTCGGCTTCTAGATGTTCCATGTATAGGTTCGCCAGGACCGCACTGAGTGGCGAACCCATGGGTAGTCCAAAAGTCTGCTGAAAGAGGTGATTTTCGAAAGAGAAACACGTAAAGCCAACACATAGTTCAACAAGGTCGATGAAAAATCGCTGGCTGGAATGGGAAGATCAAGTGAATCGTCAATTTTCCTGTGCAAGAGATCGATGGCTTGTGTAGTAGGTACTTTGGTGAATATTACCTTTTCATATAATTTTATATTGCTTGTATTTGCGATAATAGCTAAATCGTAAATGTATTGCTTTATATTGTTATTTGACTTAGCTTCCTTTTGTTAGGTAGGATGTAACATATGTGCTCAGTTCAAGTCTTGATTGTCTAACTACTGTAATTATTGCTCTTTGCTCGTTTCCCTGCCGGCTTCTGTTTCTGAGCTGCAGCTGTCCACGGAGCTATCACGTGATCGAGGGGGGTGTCCTCACCTCGCCTGAAGTATTCAGTCTGGTCTAGACACTCTTGGTGGTTGGACAGATTGTCTGTCTCATTATTCTTGTTAGTTCTGTAGAACTCTGTTCACAGAACATTGTATAGACTTAGTGATTTTCGACGTTGTACTGAGGTTGTGTGTCGCATAGACACTCTGAGCAACTCAGGTCCTGAGCTGTAGCTTCTGACCTAACTTGTACTGGTATCTGTGTACTGTCACAGTCGGGGATTTTCTTATTCTGAACTTAGATTCAGTAGTATGGGAGTTTTGTGACTTTTGTGGAGGATCTGCTGAGGGTCCCTACTTAGAGTCGTTATATTATCTCCTTGTCCTGATTGTGTCGCAGCTGCTTGTTGTATTGCTATCGGGCTTAGCATTCTTTTTTGTTCAAGCAGACTGTTCTGGTTGCCAGTCGGTCAAGTAGTTAGTTTATTTGAGGACTTTGTCAGTCACTTGTTTAAGTCTAGTCGAGTCGTGAGACATAGCGAACTACTTAGAGCACTTACACACATACTTACAAACTTACTTGTACATATTTGTAATATTTTATTAAATGTTAATGTACCAGACGGTACTTAAGAATTATAAATGTGATATGTGCTTTCAGCACAATAATATTGTACTCGAGAGAAGTGATATTATTTTGATTACTGTGATTAATTTAATTTAATTTAATTTGATAATATACCTCTAGACTTAATAAATTTATTAAATTTTAATTTCTCTATTTAGTAGCCTACCAGTTATAATCCTAAAGCACTAATAATTCATACTGAATTCTAATGGATAATTGGACAAGGATACTGACTACTTGTTACGAAAACCCAGTAACAGGCTGGATGCTAGAAGGGCAGTCCTTTCTAGTATTCACTGGAGATCTCTAAGCTTTTAGAATCGCATTTTTTGTAACAACTCATCTGGGTCTTCAGCTTCCAATTGTGACTCCTTGTTGCTGTGTCCCCTCTCTGGAACATCCTGTTTCTGTCCACCTTGTCTATTCCGCGCAGTATTTTGTTTGCTGTTATCATGTCTCCCCTAACTCTCCTGTCCTCCAGTGTCGTCAGGCCGATTTCCCTTAACCTTTCTTCATAGGACATTCCCCTTAGCTCTGGAACTAACCTTGTCACAAACCTTTACACTTTCTCTAATTTCTTGAAGTGCTTGATCAAGTGTGGGTTCCAAACAGGTGCTGCATACTCCAGTATGGGCCTGACGTACATGGTGTACAGTGTCTTGAACGATTCCTTACTAAGGTATTGGAACGCTATTCTCAGATTTGCGAGGCACCCATATGCTGCAGCAGTTATTTGGTTGATGTGTGCTTCAGGAGACGTGCTCGGTGTTATACTCACCCCAGGATCTTTCTCCTAGAGTGAGGTTTGCAGTCTTTGGCCACCTAGCCTATACTCTGTCTGCGGTCTTCTTTGCCTTTCCCCGATCTTCACGACTTTGCATTTGGCGGGGTTAAATTCGAGAAGCCAGTTGCTGGACCAGGTGTCCAGCCTATCCAGGTCTCTTTGAAGTCCTACCTGTGTGTGTGTGTGTGTGTGTGTGTGTGTGTGTGTGTGTGTGTGTGTGTGTACTCATCTATTTGTGTTTATAGATTAATGGTTATAATTATGACCGGTAAAAATGAGATTAGTCACAAGAGAGCCTTCACCAAATTCAACATTCAATAACAAGAACATAAAGGGACCAAGTAAACCAAGTCCTAAACGATAAAAGCTGGGAAGATAGACTAAGCAACACAGACCCCAACTTATGCCTAGAACAGATTAACTCGGTGGCACTCGATGTATGCTCAAGGCTTATTCCTTTAAGAAAAAGGAGGAGTAGATGTAAAACAGAAAGAGACAGGCACTCCCTTTACAGGCGACGGAAAAGAATAACAGAGCGGCTAAAAGAGGCCAATATATCTGAAATGCGTAGGAAGTCACTGGTCAGAGAAATAGTAAACATCGAACTTAAGCTAAAGGAATCTTATAGGAGTCAGGAATCGTGGGAAGAACTAAAAGCCATAAATGAAATCGAAAGAAACCCAAAGTATTTCTTTTCTTATGCCAAATCAAAGTCGAGAACAACATCCAGTATTGGACCCCTACTTAAACAAGATGGATCCTACACAGATGACAGCAAGGAAATGAGTGAGCTACTCAAGTCCCGATAAATGACTCAGTTTTTAGCAAGCCTCTAACCAGACTGAGAGTCGAAGATCAAAATGAATTGTTTATAAGAGAGCCACAGAATTTAGTTAACACAAGCCTATCTGATATTATCCTGATGCCAAATGACTTCGAACAAGCGATAAATGACATGCCCATGCACTCTGCCCCAGAGCCAGACTCATGGAACTCCGTGTTCATCAAGAACTGCAAGAAGCCCCTATCACGAGCTTTTACCATCCTATGGAGAGGGAGCATGGACATGGGGGTCGTCCCGCAGTTACCAAAATCAACAGACATAGCCCCACTCCACAAAGGGGGCAGTAAAGCAATAGCAAAGAACTACAGACCGATAGCACTAACATCCCATATCATAAAAATCTTTGAAAGGGTCCTAAGAAGCAAGATCGCCACCCA